TTTGTCGGCCACGTGATGAGGCGAAATGACGGAAGATGGAGCTCTGCGATGATACGATGGTGCTTGCGTGATAAGAAACGACCGCCGGGACGCCCTCCTCTGCTGGGCAGATTCTCTGACCCCTCGCAACAATGTTTATGATCAGATTTATCTTAAGGTCCTTCTGCACTGGACAAGCAAGGCTCAAGACAGAGATTAATGGAAAAGAAGTTGGGACCCGCCACGAGGAACGGGTCGCCTAAGTGACCTAAGTAAGTAAGTAACCACGCTGAAAAAATTCTTGGGCACCACCTTTTTGAGCTCAGTCGAGGTAACGACGCTGCAGAATCACCTTGAGATAGCTTTGAATGAAGTTCGAGAAGTAGCGACGTACCACACCTTTTATTGCAACTCGAGCCTGGTTCAGGCAACTCAAAGGTGGAAGTTTCGATTGCGTATTTATCACCGCACTAAAGACTTTCGGAGCTCAGTGAAGAATGTCTGAATGCGGAACCCAAGCGCCAAGTTACTGAGCCTTTGTCAAAAGACTTTTCCGCGATGTGGTGCGAGATCCAGGTGGCGCATTAGAGATGACCATTCATTGAGTTGTATAGGACTCGAGCACCACCTAGCACAAGCTAAACGCCACCGCGACCGAGCGCGGCCCTCACATTTTAGGGTATGCTTCGTCTTCGATTTTATTTTACCTCTGGCATTAAGTGACTTTTGTCATCAGAGAAACAATACTTTATTAAGAAAATCCACTGATATGAGCAAATTGATAAAATTCATAAACAACGTCGCCTTCTGTAGGGCGACAACTTGTGGCTGTCATGAAGCATTCAGCGGCGCATAGCGGAGCGCTGTAAAATGCATGGAATGTGTAGACCCGGGATCAAAAAACGGCGTAGAAAGACCGTGAAAATGTGGAATCAGGGGCGGATTCAAGTGTTTTTCGTAGCAGCCATCCTGAGCTGTTTCCTCGTCGGTCCAGAGGTTCGCGTCCATTTTCCGTTGCCATCGTCTCGGAAGAACGTCGGATTTCGAACGGCGAACCGTTGACCGGCGAACGGTGGTCTCTGACTTCGAGAGTTTCTGGAGGGTTTCCGCTGAGCCGCACTCACCACAACTTGTAGGTCTTCTTCTTCAAAGTGGTGCAGGCGATTTGATGAGTTTGCGGGCGACGGTGGAGGGGCTTGCGATGACTGTTCGTCGAGAATGGACTTGTCGACAACCTTGTCCAATGAGAAATGGGTGCGCGAAGGGTCAGCAATGCCGCGAAGGCTTTCTTCATCGGATTTCATCACAAAAGAAAGTACTCCCATCCGGGAGAACACATCAAATAACATATTATTCAGAACCCTTTCTCGGCGAGTGGCGCTGCTGCTGTTCTGCCTGACGGCTGGATCTGTTACCGAAGTCGGAGGAGGTGACGTTGGTGTTGCCGTGGAGGTTGAAGGAGCAGGAGAGGAGCGGAAGTTCCTGGTAACCTGCTTCCCTACACCGGCGTCTGTCCTTGGCCTTTGACCAGCTCGTGCCACTATTACCTGATCGGTGCGCTGCCGAGTTACGGGATGCAGGGAGGCATTGACTCTCGGATTAAGTGGGCGCTGCAAGGAAATTGGGAAAGGTGCTGGCTTTGGAAGACCTCTAGAACGCTGGTGAGGCTTGGGTGGTAAGGCTCGTCTGCTCCATGCCGATTTCTCTGTTCCTTTCACTCCCCTGACTAGCACCGGTTTGCTCGCTACTGACAATCTCTGCCTTTGTTGTGGTTGCCGATTCTGCTGGCGAGAAATTGTCTCCCTAACATCAAAGGATCCACGTTGTTGCAGGATAACCTGCCCACGTCCTGGTCTGGCTTGTCCAATTGGGAAGTGCTGTGCGTTAAAATTCGTAGTCTGGGAGCCTCGAAAATTCCCTCTGATCGGCGTTTCTCCATGGCTTGGTTTCTCCAAACCGTTTCAGTGGGCGCCTTGCGGGAACTACTTCAATTTGGGATTCGTTTCTTAGGAAAGGTTGTTTTACTGCCTTTCTTCGCTTCAAGGTTGATGTCGTTCCTTCTCCCAGTTGTTTTTCTTTGATTTGAGCCGGTATCACTTGAATCTGAGTCCCGTTAGGCGTTTGAATACTTCGATTCAAGTTCAGAAATAGGAATTTGAGGTTTTCGTCGGGAAATATGCCGTAGTCGAAAAGGTTTGGTACCGGGAGTAGGGTTCAACATTCGCATCGATCCCTTCTCGCCTTCATTCTGGATCGGTGAATCTTTTGTAGAATAGAGCACCCTCTTAAATGGGCTATTTCGGCGATGAAATGGGGATGGGTTGGATGCAGCTGGGAGGGCGCCCGCCTGGTCAGCGGGAGATGTGGGCTCGAGTCCCGCCCGAGGTCTGACTTTTGCCCATGTCTCAGCACTTCTTGTGAACTTGGGACTGTTGCGAGGGCGGCGGCCTTAAATTCCGGATAGTGTGGCCCACATGTAGCTCCTCTCGGGGTACAGCTTCGGCAATCTTTGGCACAAATTCAGAAGAAGAATCGTTTGGAGGTAGCCGGCGTTGAACTGTGTTCTTGAAGAATGCCGGCCGTGTGGCGGTCAGTGGAGCTTTTATGGGAAACACTGTAGAAGAGGTGGACGTGGCAGAGCTGGATCGTTCCTGAAAATAAATGCACGATGAGAAAGCTCCTACCACTAACGGAATACTTAACTAAAAATAAAGAAGAACAAGTGATTGGAATAAGGAAGCACTCAAAACGCAGATGATCCGTTTCGCCTTGTCCCCAGAAGAACCATGGCCACTATTACCGCTTTGTTGGTCATTTCTTGAATAAAGGCAGTGGTTACGATAATTGGACAGGTTTATATGCTCATTACACTTAATTAAAATCAAAACCCACCCATACATCAAGCTGCCCCATAAGTGGACCTGTGGGGGAATTCGTGACGAAAAGCGTGCTCGAAAGGTCTAGTGAAATCCTGGCAATGCCACAACGCTCAACGACTCTGCCCCCAAGGTTACGTGAGAACTAGAGCTTTTAGTAAGCGTTTCGAAGATCAGAGCGCAAAGAAATACAGGACTGGGGCTG